TAAGTATTCCATTGGCGACTCGTCTCATGTTTAAGCCATCCTAGCCAGTGATGAAACTAACATTTTCATCCCCGGTCGATAGAATTATTCATGGAATTTCTCAACAAGTTCCTCCCAACTTTGGATAGAATTAGGTGAGAGGTTGATGTACCAAGCGAATGCCGAACCTGTTAGCGAGAACTTAAATAATCGTAATTTATAGAAGTCGCTATTAACATCTCTGCATTGTGCAGTGAACCGAGCCATATGTTCTAACGAAGACATAGACGATTCGCCAACAAAAAGGCTGAAGTCTGGGATCTTGAAACCTTTAAGATATTTGAACTTCTCTACATAAGCTGGGTATGGATGGATGAACTTTGGGAACTTCGGCCCTTTTTTAAGGCCGAATTGATCATTCTTTGGACCTCGATCACATCAACGGATGCCGTTTCCTCTCTCTGATCGGACCCATCTGATCTGCTCTTGATCCTTCTCTTTTTTCCAAATCAATCATTTTGAGCCGAGCAGATCTTGTTTCACCCTATAGCATTGATACCGGATTACCCTTAGGTGGAAGTTGCCAGGAACGATCGATGGGTCCACCATCATAAACTTTACTAACCAACAGTTCAAGCATTTTGTTATGTGCCTCACCATTACTGTGTATTACTTCAAGTATACCCCTTACTTCTCGACTGAAAATCTGAGATTGCTCTTCGAGTCTTCCCAGAAAAAAAGATCTAGTTGGTGGATCAGAACCTTCACCACCATCTTCATCGCAGTCTTCGATTATTCCTTCGACAAAAATTGCTTTTGTCTATCTGGTGGTATTCTCCACATCACGAGCCTGTCCGCCTCGACTAACTTCATTTTCTCTGTGTGTCACACTCGTTGCTTCGGGTGTGATGGCCTTAAGAGGATTTTGTGCTTATGACAGGCCATCATGATCTGGGTTTTGGACCATAGGTGGAAGGTTAGTCGCTGATTTACCCATCCTTATTTTCTTTTTTACTGACTGTGTCTCAATGGTCATGAACTTCGTAGCTTCAATAATGGGTCCTACCGAGCATGCCAAAATGTTGACCCTAAAAACTACCAAGCCTACGTGGCACACAGGCCGAGTAACTAATGAGCTAACTATGTCCTTCTGTTGATGCGGGCGTGCTAACTCGTCAGCTGAGGAGTAAAATGTGTTGATGTTGCATTAAGTACGCTGCTAACTTCTTGATCTTGCTACTGCAACCAAGGAAGGAACACGTCTCGGCCATCGGTTATAGAGCCTGAAGATAAGGCTGCTATGCGAAGTTCACAGATCGTCGGCGCCAGGTTCGGTTACAGTGATTATATTCGTAAGAGTATAAGCACGCCGAACCGGTACCAAACTATATGGACACAAGTACTCAAAAGAGATGTATGTCTTGATGGTGAATGTGGTTTGGCCGTCAGAATGCTGAATACCAAATCATAAAACAAACTCGGCGTTCAATGTGCCGAGCTCAGTAGTCTGTAACACCCCACTTCACTGAGAAGGCTAATGAGATGACTTTCGCCAATAAGGATTCGAAAATCCTTCTCGACCGAGACTTGGATAGGTAATCAGTCCGTCTCGACACAGTGTTGTTTATCCAAACTAAAGATGTTTCGTTGTCGGCTGATTCTACGGAAACAATGCTATTTATCCAAACTAAAGATGTTCACTGGTTGCCTTCACAGTGTTGTTTATCCAAACTGAAGATGTGTTGGCGAAAAAGGAAAACAAAAATCTCAAGGTTGTTGGGAGGTTTCGCGTGGAGCGAGGGTTTGCGCAGGGCAGTTTGTGTGTTGAATTGGATAGGCTTAGAATGATGCGCCTCCATCTTATTTATAGCAGCCAACCTTGTCATGGCCAAACCAGAACTAAACTTGGGTTAGGATTCCTCATCCTAATCTAAAAAGATCTCGGCCAATCCTTCCTCTATTAGGACTTTGAACCAACCTCTTTATCCGGCCACATTCACTTCTCAAACCTCAGCATCCTCATTCCATTAAGACTCCTTATATTACTAGGATTCGACTCATTCGCTCCTACCCAAATTAATCCTTCTTGTAATAGGACTCTGCATACCTGACTGGGCAGCTTATGACCACTGGATGGCCCATAGTATTTTTGGAAGAGTTTTGGACTGAACATAAACCTAAGCTCGTCCCAATAATATTATTTTGGGCCTAAATAGTATCATTGAAGAAAAATTGGGAAATAAGCTATATTTGGTTGCCAGTGAAAGTTTCATTTCATGATTTCATCAATGGTTATTTGCCTTGATCTGCATATTCATCTTTAACATTCATTGCTTACTGGAAAAGCACCAATAATGTTTCTAAAAGCTAATGTAATATTTTGAAAATGTTAGATATAAAAATTGTCTTCACTATGAGACAATTATAACAGTTTGATATTGAACTCATCATTTACAAGAGTCGAACATAATATTTCTTACATGTAAAGATGATTACTGGTAGACTACAATACTAAGCCCAAATCCACATGGATATTTATCGTCACTTGATTCTCTTTTGACTTATTGACTCGAATGACCATAAATAAACAAGTTGTTAAAAAAACAAAATTCTTTTTTTGAGATTCACTTCCCTTGGTTAATATCCTTACCCTCGGTCTACCTAGTAAATACTTACTCACTTCCACATTAAGGAAAACCGTTAAAAAGGCATTACAAATACAACTTAATGAAGAATTCAGCCTCAAAAGAGATCTTGAGAACTAGATGTAAAAAAAAATTACATTAAAGCATGACCATTCGTAAAGCAATGAGTAAAAGCATTTTGTTGAAAATCAAACTCATTAGGAATCACAAGATTACAATGATATATATGATTGCCAAATCTCGTGTTACACAAATATCATATGGCAACAAAACTTGCAAACATGGTACGATGACCATGAATCGAACCACATCACTTGATCACTACCATAACCCCAAAATATCAAGTGACAAGTGTAGTGAGTCTAGCAAATCAACAATTCTAGCTTTTTACATATATATGTTAAAGAAAGAAGCACATCAAGATAAAAACTAGAATGAAAGAATTCTATGAAGAGAATCCAAAACCATAATTCCTACTAAAAATCTGGTAATCATTAAAGAAAGTCCAACTATGGACTCATTTTGATGTGCTTTTAAAATGACTGAAAGAACTTTTAGAGAAAATATTTTTGGTTTCCAAAAGCACTTTAAGTGCTTTGTGCAAGAAGCACCAGTTATGTGCTTCTCCTATGAAGCACTTTAAGTGCTTTTCCAAAATTTACTAACATTTTTACTAAGGATTGTTTTTAAAAATATTTTCACTAAAAGCATTTTTAGTTGTTTTAAAAGCACATTCAAACGAGCTATATAACAGTGTCGCCCTACCACATCCTTGGGATGATCCTCCCAACTTCCCATAAAGAATAGGAGTGAGTTTAAAAAATCGAAAACCGAAAAAAACAAAGTCAAACACCGAACCAAAGCCGAAAATAAAATTAAACCGAATCGAAATAAGTTGGTTCGATTTCAATTTTGGTGGTTCAAAAACCGTACTGGACCAAACCAAACTGGTTTATATTTAATTATTTAATATATATTAATTATATAAATTTGTAACAAATACTCAAAATCTAGAGGGCAGGTGTTTTGAACCCCTGACTTCCAAGTTGAGAGTGTTTGCTTTAGCCAACTTGACAACAAGCTTTGTGTTGCTATAAGATTTCTAAACACAAAACCCTAGTCGTCCCATTTACTCCCATTTCATCTCCTGTTTCAACTGACTTCTCAGCCTCTCTCTCCCATAGTTGAATTCTTGCACCTCCATGCTCTGCTTTCTTAGTTTCTTTCTCTCTTCCTCCAAAGCAGACTCTCTCTCTCTCTCTCCCTCTTCTCAGGTTCTCCTCACGAATTTCTTCTTCGAAACTGTGATTTCCCCTCGCCTTTTTCGAATCGAAACCCCCTCCAAATCGGAAGATTCTAATCCGGATTCTCCATTATTTCTAAGTCTCGACCCACGACTTCCTTTGCAAGGTTACTCTCATGGTATTTTCACTCATGTTCTACAGATTTTCTCTTCAATTTCATGGGTTTTGCAGATTTTATTTTCAATTTCAGGGTTCTGCAGCTTTTCAATTTCATGGGTTCTCTCATGTTTAGTCAGATAAGCAAAAAAATTCTAGATTGATATTAGACGTCGAAGCTAAGTTGGCATCTACTGCTGTAGTTGTAGTTGATGCAACTGCTGTTGTGAAGGCAGTAGCTATAGCTACCTATGTTGCATCAAATACTGCATTACAAGCAAAATTGATGGCTAAAGAAGCCTTGATTTCATATAAAGATGGGAATGCAAGCCAAAGTATAAGAATGACTACTCCTGTGCCCATTTTAAGGGGTGAAGATGTAACAAATAGTTCAAATTCGATCCTTGTTGCTGTTAGGGGGGTTGTTAGAAAGAGAGTTGAAGTTGCATCCTGTGCAGATTTGTGGTGGGTTAATGTTAGGATGATTATATGTTTCATTTTAAAAAAGAAAAAAAAAAAACTGAAACCAAATCAAAACCGAACCCAAAAAAAGTGAAACGAACCAAACTGAACTGAAATTTCGGTTCGGTTTTGGTTTTGGCAAAAAACTGAATCATTTTGAACCGAACTCAACTCTAAAAGAGAGTCATAGTACCATATTAACTAGAGCCCTAGTGTCATACCTAAACCAATAGTGTCATATTGGCTAAACTCCTAATGTAGTACTGGCTAAACCAATTGTACCGATTAAACCAAACTCAGCGCAATTCGACTACTTTGACGGCTCCAAACGCACGTCGAACGTAGCAACTGGAGCCAAATTCTTGTGTTTTCTATGCGCGTGGGCCAAATAAGGTCATTATCAACCCTCAAGCAGATTTGTTGATTTCATTACTTTCCTCTATCAGTCCCGTAACGACTGCGTTTTCTGAATATTCCCATTCCCCAAGTACCTCTTCCCTCCCGACTCCACCCCCAAATTGCTCGATCACTAGATCTCCCCTCTCTCTGATCAGATCCAAACTCCGGAGACCAAAACAATGTCGCACTCCGAACGCGACACCGTCCCCCTCCACCCCTCCTCCCAATCCGACATCGACGAGATCGAAAACCTAATCAACGCCAGCGTCCAATCGGGCCCCACCACCGTCCTCCCCGCCAAACCCCCCAGTCCTCCCCGCGCCTCCATTCCCGTTTCATCATCCCCTTTCATCCCATCAAACCTCCCGCCCCCAGCCCCCTCCTCCGCCACGAAGCAGAAGCCTTCCTCCGTCCCCGCCCCACCTCCCATTCCCTCCGCAACCAACGGCCCCACTATCTCCCCCTCCGGGTTCGGCTCCCCGCCCAACACCCTAACCGAGCCCGTTTGGGACACCGTGAAGCGCGACTTGTCGAGAATCGTGAGCAATTTGAAGCTTGTGGTGTTCCCCAACCCGTATCGTGAGGACCCGGGAAAGGCCTTGAGGGATTGGGATCTCTGGGGACCTTTCTTCTTCATTGTGTTCTTGGGTCTCACGCTTTCCTGGTCTGCATCTGTTAAAAAGGTCAATTGCCCCTTTTTTTCATTTTTATTTTATGTATGCATGTGTTTGTGTGTGTGTGTGTGTGTGTGTGTATGGGTTTTCTGAAGATTATGGTTTTTCTCATTTGATTTCAATTGGAATTGTTTGTGAACAGTCTGAGGTTTTTGCTGTTGCTTTTGCTGTGCTTGCTGCTGGTGCTGTGATTCTGACGCTGAATGTACTCCTACTGGTAATTACCCACTCTCTCGCGTTCTACTTGTATCGATTTGTTCATGTTGGGTTTTTGAAACCAAGAATTGCGTGTGAATGGGAGATCTATATAACTAAGTGGCCTTTCTTATTTTGTGTGAATGCTCTATCTTATATCAACACTGCTGTACCCTCAAATTTATTATGATGTCAATTATCATGAGTATCGTAGTAGCTAAAAGTAAATGAAGGGCGAGAGTGAGCTCGGATTGAGTGTATGGAAAACTGATGCATCACTTGGTGAACAATTAGTAGTGATCTATCTACATCTACAACCTAGAGTATTGCAAGAAGTATAGCACGTTACAAGTCTTCTTCTTTATTGTATGTGTTGTATATAGACAGATAAGAGTAATTTTCTTGTGTAGTGTGAGATGCAGCTGTTAGATTGTGAATCATACGGTTTATCAGGGTGAAATATGCACAAATGCGAGAATTTGCGCTTGATTCACTTTCTTAAGATATAGCAAGCTAGGGTAAGAGATGTTCCTTTAACAAAATGAGTAGTTGAGAAAAGTTTTTTTTCTTGTCAGGGTGGACACATAATATTCTTCCAGAGCCTTAGTCTCCTCGGTTATTGCCTATTTCCTCTGGACGTTGGAGCTCTGATATGTATGGTGAAGGACAATGTGATATTGAAGGTGGTTGTGGTAAGCGTAACACTGGCTTGGAGTTCGTGGGCTGCATATCCTTTCATGAGTTCAGCAGTCAACCCCAGGAGAAAAGCCCTTGCACTTTACCCTGTCTTCCTATTGTACGTATCTGTCGGTTTCCTCATTATCGCCATTGATTGACACATCAAAACTAAGCAATGCTGTTAAATAGGACTTTTTGGGGTGCTTCATTTTCTCACTTGTTGCTTGGAGTTTTGGTGCTCTGTCTGCCCGTATCATATCTGTTGTATCAAACTTGTTACATGATATTAATTCTATCACGTCTTCATACTTTTCATTACTCCTGTGATCCGATGAGTTCATTCTTTCATTGTGATATATTTTAGAAATTAGCAGCATCATCTTTAAGTTGTTACTTTTTGAAATAAATTGCTATTTGAAAACGTTAGTGTTGGTTACGACAATCGTCGCTGACCTTGTCACTGCGGTTCATTTTCGTCCCTGAATCTATTTTTGTTTTCTGTGGTTCTCAAACTCACTCACGTTTGGCGTTATGGTCCTTTCCGTGAACTCCATTTGTTTTTCTATTCAACTGGGTGTAAATTTGAAAATTCAATTCACAACCTTAAAAACTAAATAACATAATAACATAAAAATTGAAATAAAATTTGGAGGGCGTGTCCCGATCCACCCTATTGTGGTAGTCTGAGAAGGCCATGCTAGAATTTTTCTTTTCGTTTTCTTTTTCGTTTTAACAAACTTATTCGATGCATAAAAGTAGGTCCCGTGAAATTCACGGGCTCGAGGTGAACCAAGACTCTTTTCATAAAAGAAAGAAAAAAGATTGAGCTTTCATACCCTTGAAGTTCATCCTTGTTTTCACCCATGTGAGAACCTTCAATCTTCTTAAGCTCCATGGATTTAGCTCCTTGAATCCTTGGATCTTTGCTCATTCCTTGCTCCTCTGCTCCTTGAGGATTTGATGAAAGGATTCTTCAAGCACCAAAAGGATAGTGCCTTTAACTCACACTAAGGGTGAGATGTGAAGATGAGATGGAAGAACTAAAGGAGGATTTGATGCTAGTAAATCCTCCTATAGTGGCCGGGCTGTTATAGAGAGAAGAGGAGACAATGTACCTCCAAGTTTTATACTCTAACAACCCTAATGAGTTTGTAGTTATAACACCCCTTTTACAGTCACTCCAACTTGAGTGGCATGGGTGTATTAATATCTACCCTCTAGCATAGCCGGCCTTGCCCTTTAATATTGGGTTTTTTGTTCCTTTGGTCTTAAGTTGTCATAAACTTAAGCCTAATGGGCCTTATGAACCAAAGCCATTGGGCCTCAAAAACCCTAAACTATTTTAGAGTCCAATACAAACTTATTCGTATAATTAATTAACTTATCCATCTTATTTATATTGTTCATACTCATCATTATATGGTGTATGATCCATTAGGTTCCAATTAGCGAGGCAGTGAGAGATTGTACCTCTTACTAATCGATTGTGAATTGACTTACCTTCTACTATGCATATGATGAAGATTAGTGATTGCTAATCTTTAGGGCTTTAACAAACTATTAGTGACACCTAGCAGTATGTTATGGTTACCCAAGTTAAGTAGAAGTAATTAGATAACCTATTTAGTTACAACTACAATGAAATATGGTCGTACTCTAATTCAATACTCTTGACCAAATTGTTTGGTTAATATTTTATTTCATGTCTACTATCCAATGTGATACTTCTCTATATGATTCTAGTGAATATGATTTGGAACATTCTTCCTAAGTCATATTCATATGCTTTGGCCAAGAGTCTTGAATCATATTTTAGAATATTCTCATTCCATTATGAAAGGTTAGAGATCCCTTGTTGTACACTCACATGTCTCTATGAATAAATCAATGACACCAACAATGCTAGGAACATGCCCAAGATGAGGCACGTACTTTGTCACATTGTCCAATGATCAAAGACATATCCACAAGGCATGTGTGGTGTCTCCGACCTTTGAATCATTGCAACTAATGAGTCCTTAGATGACATGTATGCCAGAACTCTCTGTTGATCGTTGGTCAGTGTACTCAACAATCTTTTGGAGCATCTATTTGTTTGTCTTAGTGTCTAACACTAATGATTTTGATACTAGTCATACTCAGTGGCGGAGCCAGAAATTCATATGAGGAGAGGCCTTTCACAAATGTAAAAAAAAAAAAAAAAAAAAAACAAAACATCATAATAACATATTCATTGTCAGTGGTGTGTTTGAAAGTGTTTTGGAAATAACTGAAAATGCTTGTAATGAAAGTGTTTATAGAACTAATCCTTAGTTAAAGTGCAAGTGAATACGAAAAAGAACTTGAATTGCTTCTTACAAGAAATATATAATTGGTGATTCTTCCAAACTTTTGAAACCTAAAAACACTTTCATCAAGAGCACTTTCAGTCATTTTAAAAGTACATCCAAACATATAAAATTACTTGTTACATGATAACCTTGCCATCCATACTATTAAATTTAATAGTGTGAATCAATAAAAAAATTCTAAGCACTAAAACTTAAATAAGAGGTAAGATAGAGGATAAACAATAAAACGTTATAGAGAATAAGATATATTTTACAAATCTTATTGTTGAATTAATTTGAATTTGGTATGACAATATATATGAAATTTCATAAAATGAGAAGAAGAATAGCTTTGTATATTTGGAGTTTTGCTTCTAGGTTGCACTGTCACATCCCAGTCCCAGCTCCGTCGTAGCACGATATTGTCCACTTTGGACCCCGGCCATGCCCTCACGGTTTTGTTTTTGGGAACTCACACGAGAACTTTCCAGTGGATCACCTATCCTAGGACCGCTCTTGCCCGAACTCGCTTAACTTTGGAGTTCCGATGGAACCCGAAGCCAATGAGTTCCCAAAAGGTCTCGTGCTATAAGAGGTGGGCATGTATATATAAGGCACATCACCCCTTCTCCGTTGGTCAATGTAGGATGTTACAATACAACCCCCTTAGGGGCCCGATGTCCTCGTCGACACACTCGCACCACGCGACAGAGTGGCTCTGATACCATTCTGTCACATCCCAGTTCCGGCTCTACTGTAGCACGATATTGTTTGCTTTGGGCCCTAGCCATGCCCTCATAGTTTTGTTTTTGGGAACTCACATGAAAACTTCCTAATGGGTCACCCATCCTAGGACCATTCTCGCCCGAACTCGCTTAACTTCAAAGTTCCGATGGAACCCGAAGTCAGTGAGTTCCTAAAATGCCTGGTGCTATAGGAGGTTGGCATGTACATATAAGGCACATCACCCCCTCTTCGCTGATCGATGTGGGATGTTACATGCACCTTGAAATAGAAATATCAAAGTAGATTTTTTTTTCATTTAAAAGTGAAGGACTAGTGTTAGGGTTTATTTTTATTTTTATTTTTTTATCAAATGCTATGTGACATACATAATAAAGTACTCGAATTAGTGGTGGGATGCAATCAAACTTGGAAGTTGAAATTTGGAATACGAAAGAATAGGTTTTAATTGTTGTACCATTGACCAATAAGAGGAGGATTCTAAATGAAAGAAGAATAATACCAAAAGGAGGAGGGTTGCAAAGAAAAACTTAGGATGGGCCTAGGCCAATCCTTATCTCAAGGTTTTGCCGCCACTGATCATACTCTTGATTGAGTTGACATAACACATACTAGCCTTAGCGGATTGTCAATGCCTAATTGATAATCATATGTGTAGTTTTAGGATTGAACATAAGACAAAGGTCTCGCTGATCTAACACTCAGATCCCTTCTCTCTTAGGTTGATTACTTTCCTTTGATTATGTTATTGATTACTTTCCTTCCATTAAACTAAATAAGAGCTTAACAAAGTAAGTATTCCAAAATATATTACGTTAAACGAATGGCTTTAAGGGCATACTTCTAACATGGTTCTCATATAGAGGCGTCAAACTCACATAAACTACTATGAAAGGACTTTTGATTCTTATATATATAGGGATCAAACTCACATAAACCACTTTGAATATGCCTTAGAGTGGTTTAGAATATTGTCTTATCAAGACAAAATGACAATTGGGATGAGGGAGTAAAAAATTGGTTACAAGGGAGTAAGTGAGTCCTCCTAGTTTATGAGAGTCTAGACTGTTCAAGTTTGTTTAAATTTAACTCAACAACCATAATTCTTTGACTTATTGATGGCATACCCCTTGAAACTCATCCTCGCTCTTACTTGGCCTAATTTATGAGGAAGGCAATTTGAAATTGGGTGTAATTAGCTTTTCAACTATTTAGAATGTATTGTTGTAGTGGCGATTTTGCAAAGCAAACATGAGATCTTTATTTAATTTTAAGGTGGAGATTTTCACACTCCTTCATTCATAAATTTAACAGATTTTTGACAAATTTAAACGGAACTGAAGCATAGTGAGAGACGTTATATTCTTGTTCTCTCGTAACTAAGTGTGTGAGAAAATGGGGTTAAGTGAGAAAAAATGAGTTTCACACAGTATAGTGAGAGCGAGTTTGAGTTTTAGGGAGTGCAACCATAGATAAGCTTGAATCATGTTGTGCTACAATTTTAGTAGTAATTTTTTTCATCGTGTGAGAAATCAGCCATCAAAGAACCAAAGTAATTCTCTTTTCTTCATAGTTTTGAATTGCTTAAAAAGGAAAACTTTTGGTTTTCCACATCTAGCTATGCAATTGTGAATTTCATTCTTACTTTCAAGCTTACTTGATCACCAAAACATCTTTCAACTAAAATAAGTATTTACTGATATTAATTTACATACACTTTATTGTTGCCAAAAAAAACTTATGTAAATGGCTTGTAGCTCAAGCAGTTAAGAAAATTCACTTTTGCACTCGTGGTCCTAAGTTCTATTTCCCTCTCTACCCCTTTCCTTCCCCAAAACTATTGCTTGTATAATGTTGTACCAGAGTTTGGGCCTTTTACTATTTGTTATGAGTATTATTTAATATGTGATTGTGTAAATCCTAGTTAGATTTGGAGTCTAGATTAGCGATTTTTCTAGTGATTATTTCCTTATAGGATCTTACTTGGAGGACAAGTTAATCCTTTCCCCTTGGTTTACTATAAATAGAGGCACTGGCATAGGAAAAACAAACAATCATTTTTTTATTATTCCCTCAAATGGCCAAAGCCCAAGTTTGAGTGTGTAACCTACACCCTTAGGTTGCATAAATTTTCAGAAGTCGAATGGTGCATTGGAAGCTACCGGACAACGAGGCCATGTCCCAGTGTCCGTAGTCCGCTTATTAATCGTAACCGCACTTAAGACTCCTCTTGCACTAACA